GTCCCTTGGTGACTTCTCTGCCTTCCTGCCACAATCGTGAAGATGTTCAACGAGCCGATAGTACTCCTCGTCGATGTTTTCGATGACGGAATCCTCCCATAAGCTGACGAGGGAAGCGAAGTGGTCCCAGTTGATGACTGTCCTGGGGCTTCGCTTCCTGAACTTTGCTGCTCTCTCAACACGCATCGAGAAGTGGAATCTTGCGCGGAGGAGACGATGGTCCGATCCCGTGTAGAACTTTGGAACAACAGCGACGTCGGTCAGGCAAAACCTTCGATTGAAGATGATGTGGTCTATCTCGTTATGGAACAAGTCCAACGAAGGTGAGGGGGCTTTTGGAACTGTGAGTTACCATGGATGGTGTTGGTCGACATGATAAACTCCGACAGTCTCTCACCCTGCTCATTCCATTCCATTCCGTGAGTACCGATGTGAAGTTCTTCAGCCGTTCTTCTTGGGCCAATCTTAGCGTTGAAGTCGCCGACGATGACCTTGAAGAAGGTATGATCTTCCCTGTAGAACTTCTCCAATTCCATATAGAATGCTTCGTGTTCTTCTTCGTCGTAGCTGGATCTCAAACGTCCGATTCGGGTCGTAAGGCTTTCGTACGAATCGATGTTTATGGCCAAGTGCGTGTTGACGAGGACACCCACACCGCCAACGCCTCTGCTGTCGCATGTTCCAAGGAACAGTTCTTCTCCAGTATCGAAAACGGCGTGTAGCGGGCGGTGCCTTCTCGTCTCGGTCAGTCCGATGACGTCGTACTTGATCTTCCTGGCCTGCATCATCAGATCTTCGATGTGAGCTTCGGATGCAAGCGTTCGTGCGTTGAAAGTACAGATCGCCATCTTAGTCCTTCTTCGTTTAGGCAGCCTATCCGGGCCCTGAGATTCTAGCAGCCTCTCCCGAGCGGTCCTACCCAACGCTGCCGTATTGGGGGCTCCCTCAGGTTTGAGGCCCATCCATATTGCTGTTTTCGGCATATTGAAGGCACACGAGTAGCTTGCCAGGCTCTGTCGTGTGGGCTAGGATAGACCTCCAGGTAGTTAGCCACGCTATCCTGGAGCGGAACAAGGGGCTTAGTTTTTGGAGGCGGCCCCGAATCGCCTCCCATGTACTTCCCAGTCACTTGAATGCAAGCTTTTGGCTGTGCCGACATGCAGGATACCAACCGCACACACACAGAGCGCACCACACACGCAAGCATGCATGGATGCGCCTGAGTGGAGACAGCTGGTATGAATCAACACAGCACTACAGAAACAGGGAGTCCATCCCCTGAATCCACCTGCGTCTCAGGGCAAGTACATGGTGGCTTTTGGTCCGCGATTTACCCCCTATCCGCCACCTGGGGTCGCGCCACGTAGCCTCGCCACCAACCGGCTCGAGATCTTTCAGTGAGAGAGACCCATGAAAGAGATCGAGTTCGTCATTTGACAGCAATTTTTCGCAGTAACAATCTGGATCCAACCCATTCACGGTTTCCAAAGTAGACAGTTAAAGTTTCCCAAACTCGGTGTGAAATCTCTGGGCTGAACAAATAGATTCACTCACGCTTCAAGAGCGGTGAACAAAGACCCAAGACCTAAAGTTCCACATTACTGATTACAGAACCAATCTTTTTGGGTGTTGCGTGGTCCCACCGTTTAGACCAAATTTTTGGAAAATATCGAGAAGGAGCGGACCTATTGCGCATAGACACCGAGAAAGCGCATTCTCGCCCAACACGCGGTGTTTCTTCTTCTTAGTATCTCATCGAACCCCCTCAAGCACCCTGTCCCGCCGACGTTTAGACGATGTGAGAGACTTTGATCAGCCAACTAGATGAAAAATGTCATCCATCGGAGGTGTTTAACCGAATTACCTGCGTTCAACAACCATCTCCCTTTTGTCTGAGTCAATGCCAGCGAACAATGGCCGACCCACCCAAAAGATAGAAAATGATGCAAAGTTCATCTCGTAATTCGTCGAATTTCTTTAATAACTCGGCTCAGAGTCGACGTATTCCAGAAACAGACAAAACCTTGTCCCGTTGGCTGTTTCCCCCGTGCAACTCAGCTCTTCAAGCGCTACAAGATGCTGGTTATTTTCATAACGCTTGATTTCCGGACATGCGCGCCATGGCACACGGTCATCTCAAAAGTAGTTCCGCATAGTAGGTATTATGTTCGGCCGTCTATGCGGCAACCTCTCCAGCTCCCCCACAGCAAGGGCCTTTCCCAAACCTTAGCCCCAATTGCGCTCCACGTACTCTCTCTATCCCACTTAGCCTATGAAGATAGAGCCAGTAATTTTCCGCACTTCTGAATATTCCATTCGTTCAAGCGCTTACTATCTTACGTGTTCCCTTCTGCCTTCTCAATCTACACCTGGATAGTCACGTGGAATGCGTTGAAGCAGCTCAGCAGCTAGGGGCCTACCATGTACATTCCATTTCGGAGACATGTGCAGAAGCGTTAACCAGCGAACAAATTCCTTCACTGTCGTAGACAACGGTCACTTGTCTGTAAGGATTATATGGAAACCTTGGCCGCAGGTGAGCGCTTCTTCCGTGGTGTGACCCCAAACATCACCCCTTGTCATGCCTTTGCCCCCTATTACGTGACAAGTCCCATTTTTAGAGGAATGTTTTCTGTAGAAAGCTGTAAAGGAAGCGAAGAATTTCCTTTCACTGTCGTAGACTATGGTCGGGGCATAGACTATGCACGAAGTATGTAGTCGCAAGTAAGCGTTCCTTCCGTGGTGTGGCCCCAAACATGCCTCCTCGTCATGCCCTTGTGGAATGTTCAGATTTTTTGCATTTCCAGATGAACTCGCAGACCTGAAATGTGCCCCGTTAGCTTTCCCGTGAAAAATGCTATCGAATGATATGCATTACTTCCCCAGTTGAAACTTTGGTTTTTCACCGTTTTCAGCCTTCCCCTATTGCCGGATCACTATCCCACGATTACTGCCCCAAAATCTCAAAGTTTCATTTTTCGTCGAAACTTTGTCTATTGGGGTAATTCGATGCCCTGATTACGAATATGACATTTTGATGCTGTGTCCTTGCCCATTTGCGCCGTGCGCTAACTTGCGCCACGCTGTTCACCAAAACTGCCGAATCTCTCATGGGTTAGTTGGGTCCGATTACAAAACGTCATCCGTTTTAGCGAAAGCGCCGCCATTTGGCGCGTTTGCGCCAGTGGCGCCTACGCTGATTTCACAGCTCTGAGGAAACTCGTCATTGGGTATTTGATATCCGATTGCGAATATAACCTTCGTCTTGACCCACGGTCCCATGTGGTTCACAAACAACACTCACAGTAGAGGTCTCTTTCGGCACCTTTCCAGAGCGCCGGACTGTCAAGCCCCGCCGGCGGCGTCAGAGCGCCGACTGTCAGGACCGTGGAAAAGGTCATCGAATCGGAGACTTTCCCACGACAGGAAGGAGTCAGACCGTGGGAAAGGTCGCCGAATCAGACTTTCCTACGATAGGAAGGAGCCAGACCGTGGGAAAGGTCATCGAATCGGAGACTTTCCCACGACAGGAAGGAGCCAGACCGTGGAAAACTGTGAGCTAAGCCAGAAGCATATTTCACGTTTTCACTGGAGATGCCTGTATGCGTTGGGGAGCAGCAATTCGACTGTAAGCTCTCCAGCTGCCACTGAGGATGGTAGTACCGTGCTCGATGTACTACTTCATGATGAGCCGCAGTAGAGTTGAAACGTCTTTCCTTCCGGACCATCCGAAGGAGTCCACTTCCTCTTTCAATGCCTCCAAACAGCCACTTGTGCCTGCGTACCCAACGTCGGCGGTTGTATTTACGTTTGATAACCAGTGTTTCGTCAGTTTCCCCCTCGCACCCAAACCTTCCGATGATCGGCGGGTTCCTCCTGAAGTGCCCCACACATTCGCCGCGGAAGAACCGCTCCCACTGAATTGAACTGGTGTGGCACATTGAGCTCGTATTCCTTGTCCTTCACCTTGCCCATGTCGCGCAGCCAGAAATAGGGCAGTGCGAACACCGTTGACTCAGGAAAGTTACAGTTCTCGAAAAAGGAATCCTTTCGGGCATGAACGTAGACCCTGGTCTCGTTCGATGGTCCAGTGCGGCACGCTCGGCCCAAATAACCCCAAATGACGAAGTTTCAGCAGATTTGGTGAAAACAGCTGTGGCGCCAAATTGGCGCCAAACGGCGCCAAATGGCGCCAGCGCTAAAAACGGTGTCGTTTTCGTAATCAGGACCCCAAATAACCCCAAATGACGAAGTTTCAGCAGATTTGGTGAAAACAGCCGTGGCGCCAAATTGGCGCCAAACGGCGCCAAATGGCGCCAAATGACACCAGCATCAAAAATGAATGTCATATTCGTAATCAGGGCATCGAATTACCCCAATAGACAAAGTTTCGACGAAAAATGAAACTTTGAGATTTTGGGGCAGTAATCGTGGGATAGTGATCCGGCAATAGGGGAAGGCTGAAAACGGTGAAAAACCAAAGTTTCAACTGGGGAAGTAATGCATATCATTCGATAGCATTTTTCACGGGAAAGCTAACGGGGCACATTTCAGGTCTGCGAGTTCATCTGGAAATGCAAAAAATCTGAACATTCCACAAGGGCATGACGAGGAGGCATGTTTGGGGCCACACCACGGAAGGAACGCTTACTCTTGCGACCTCGGTCGTTTCCCTTCACACATAATTCCTACAGACAAGTGACCATAGTCTACGACAGTGAAGGAAATTCTTCGCTTCCTTTACAGCTTTCTACAGAACATTCCTCTAAAAATGGGACTTGTCACGTAATAGGGGGCAAAGGCATGACAAGGGGTGATGTTTGGGGTCACACCACGGAAGAAGCGCTCACCTGCGGCCAAGTTTTCCATATAATCCTTACAGACAAGTGACCGTTAGTCTACGACAGTGAAGGAACTCCGCCATGGACGGTCCCAAGCCCGTCTGGGAAAGGAGGAGGGTTGGCCCGCTACCGACGGGCTGTAAAACTAGGTAAGAAACCATGGAGTGTCATTATAGCAATAACGACAAAGCTACCGCATCCGGGGGAGCCGATGCGCCAATACCGAGGAGCCAGGGTATTGGTGGAAAGACATTGACTGGCCAAAAAAAGGAAATCCCACGACTCCTTACACCTAAGTCGAAACTGCGACTTGGATCGTGGAACGTGCGGACCGCCTTTCACTGCGGTCAGAAAGAAATCATCGCAAGGGAGTTGAGCAAGTGCCGGGTTACTGTTGCAGCTTTATCCGAACTGAGGATCAGCGGCTGTGGAACGACAAGAGTGCAGGTTCCTGCTACGGACGATTGGATGACACTGTACTACTCTGGCGGTCAAGAACATCGTGATGGTGTTGGGTTCATGCTCAATAGCCACGCATCAAAATGCGTCGTGTCGTTTCAACCCATCTCGCCGAGAATAGCAGTGATCACTTTGGGCGGAACCGTCAAGTCGCACATAGTGAGCGTATACGCTCCGACGGAACCGAGCGACGACGGTATGAAGGACGAATTCTATATGCAGCTCCAAGACGTGCTGGACAGCATTCCCAGAAGAGATCTCGTTATCGTCACAGGCGATCTGAACGCTAGAACTGGCGCCGACAGAACCGGATGGGAACCTGTGATGGGCCGATTTGGCGTAGGAGAAATGAACAACAATGGTTTGCGGCTGCTTTCGTTTGCCACGTTCAATGATCTGGTCATCGGCAATAGCCTATACCAGCATGCACGAAAGCATCAGCTGACATGGAGAAATCCATCTGGTCACGATTCAGCAGTCCTGGACTATGTACTAATCAATTCTCGATACATGTCATCTGCAAGAGTCGGCAACTGAGAGACCGGATTGCGGATCAGATCACTACCTACTACGAGCAGTCGTGCAGCTCCGCCTACAGTGTGCTAAGCGAGGTAAACGCCAACCGAAAGTAGACTGGGAGCAACTTTTGAAGCTGGAGGTGAAGCAAGGCTTCCAAATTGCACTGTCAAATCAGTTTGCTGCGTTCACGGAAGTGGGAACGGTGGACGAGGAAGAACGGCAGACTGCAAAAGTCATTACCGAATGTGCTACACAACTGTGCCCAGTTTTGCGCCGACGGACTAAACCATGGATCTCGGACGAAACATTGCAGTTGGTTGACAAAAGGAGGAAGGTGAAGCTGACGAATGGCACTACGTATCAGCTACTCAGTAAGGAGCTCCGCAAGAGACTAAAAACAGAAAGGGAGGCCTACTGGAACGCAGTAGCGGAGGAGCTCGAAGAATCGGCATCCAAACACGAGTATCGCATGCCGTATCAAATTCTGAGAAGACTGTGCGGCAAAACCAGAGCATGCGGAACCTTCATCAAAGACGCAAGTGGCAAACTCGTGAAGTCAGAGAGGGAACGCTTACAGAGATGGAGAGAGTTCTTCATAGAGCTGTACAGCCACGAACTGCCCACAGAACCGTTTCCAGAGCCAGTACCGATAGAGAGCCACAGGAACCAACACACGAGGCGGCGCCAAGTATGGAGGAAGTGAGGGCGGCGGTGATGTCGCTGAAGAACAGGAAAGCGGCTGGTGTAGACAATGTCACAGCAGAAGCGATTAAGGCAGGAGGAGAAGTATTGGTACAACGGCTCCACCGTCTTATGTGTCGCGTCTGGCAGACGGAGGTTGTTCCTACGACGTGGAAACGCTCCATCATCGTGCCAATACACAAGAAAGGCGACATAACGGAATGCAAGAACTATCGCGGCATATCACTCCTGTCAGTCGTCGGGAAGGTTTTCACAAAGATCATCAACGCAAGACTTCAGCTTCATCGAAGAAGCTTATGCCGACCGGAGCAAGCGGGTTTTTGCCCTGGCCGTGGGTGCAGTGACCAGATCTTCGCGCTGAGGCAACTACTGGAAGAACGTATTCGTTGCGGCAAAAGGGTTGTGGTTGTTTTCATAGATTTCAGAGCTGCATTCGATAGCGTCCACTGGCCAGCGCTATGGAAAGCCCTAGAGTGTGAACATGTTCCGGACAAAATTGTGAGGCTGTTGCGGGAGACGTACAATGGAACCGTCAGCTGTATCCGCGTCA